TGTAAATCAAGCAATATTATAACTGTTTAGATGCACTGTTTAGAAGTTTAGACAGGATGGGTAAGAAGCAAACCTTTTCTTTGTATATAAAATGTTAGCAAAATTCTCAAAGTATCATAGTAACGGGTATAAAGTGATGAAATATGTTAAAGGATACTTAAGTATAACCTTGTATTATTTTAGTGTTCTTGCTTTTAAACCTATTAAATCAACATTAAATTCCTGTCAGAACGAGACAACGGTCATGATCTAGGATTTGCATGGATTTAATGTCCATAATATATTCTCAGAATGTTCTGATCCTGAGAATGTACTTATAAGGTCCATACTAGGTCACCTAGACATTGTTTGGACATCCCTTAAAGTCGTCCTCAGGACTTTGAATAACCTCCCATTTGGATGGACGACATCCAGACCAAAAGAGGACGTCCTAAGGACGACCTCAGGACGTATTGCTATTTTCTGGGTATGTGAAACATAACACATTGCATTAACAGTGCTCATTATAAAAAGTAATAACCAACAACGGCATACAAACACAAAAGCATCTGTTCCGGAGAACACAAATGAATAAGGAACTTGTCGGTAAAAATTAGCATACAACACGCTACCTGAACCTAGCCACCTGTAGGGTATCCACATACCCCAAAAGGGGTTTGTAGCTCCGTTTAAGCATACTAAATTAAAACAGAATCCGATTATATCACGGACTAAGCCGCCACTTTGGCTCTAGTTTACTACAAGAGGTAAAATTCAAATGCTTGTTTACACAAGTTTGGGGGCTGTGCAGACCCCAATTGGAAATAGTGGAATATTGATTACTGATATTGATATTGATATTGAGTCTGCTTGATCTGGGGCCATAAAACACCCTAAATGTCATTCTGTCATGAAAAACCAAATAATTTCTCCTAAAGAGACCCAATTCTATATATAAAAAAGAAATGGAAAAAAAAATCAGTCACATGACATTTTTGGTAAAGCCCTGAATGAAAGATACCTTAGCCATCTCGTTGGGGGATGTTCATACCATCCATCCATCCATTCAATCCATCCGAGGTCGGGTCGCGGGGGCAGCAGTCTCAGCAGGAAAACCCAGACTTCCCTCTCCCCGGCCACTTCCTCCAGCTCCTCTGGGGGGATCCCGAGGCGTTCCCAGGCCAGCCGAGAGACATAGTCCCTCCAGCGTGTCCTGGGTCGTCCCCGGGNTATGATTACACTTCTGCAAGATGTTATCCAGTCTCTGAACAAGGTCATTCTGGTTCATCTTCTTCAGGATACCAAGCATGACATTGAGAGCACCGACTTCACCATAGGAACGTATCATCATGTCGGCGATGCCGCTTCTGTCCAAATTCTCCAGCAGACCCCTGGGAATGCGCTGATACTTTTCATACTTCAGGTGAATCAGGTTATATTTAAACTTCTTCAGCTCATCTTCAGTGAGCTCCTCCAGAGAACGGAGCAAGAGGTTGGGGAGCGAGGTCTGGGTCTGCAGAATGTCGGAGATGAGTCCATGAGACTCACAAACCCGTACATGGTCACTCCCACACATGCACTGACCTTTCTGTTAACAGAAGGCAGGTTTCCTGCTCACAGTCTTATATGTCTGCTGGAGACACCTGCTGTGATTCTTTCATTACTATAGGAGACACACGTGTGTTTATTTCTGCATTATTATTTAACCTTATTTAAGCAGGTTAGTCTCACTGATGTTTAAAATCTCTTTTAAAAGAGAGACCCGACCAATTTAAATAAATAAAAATAGTTTAAGTCCCAACAGAGCACATTAATACAATGAGGTCAAAAATAAAATACACTAAAAACATCATGTTTAGACAGCATCCAATATAATTATACATATTTTATATTAAGTTATGCTGTTCTGTTACAATATGTCAATAACATTTCTTGTAACACAATCCAGTAAGGAAGTAGCCTGAGGAAGAGCACTGCGGAGAGTGAGCTTTTTGTCTGATAAGTTATTCTGTTCTGTTACAGTACGTCTAATATTTGGTGCAGTGCGGTATGGTAAGGAAGTAGCCTGAGGAAGAGCACTGTGGAGAGTGAGCTTTTTGTCTGCTACTGTAAGTTATTCTGTTCTGTTACAGTATGTCTAACATTTGGTGCAGTGCGGTATGGTAAGGAAGTAGCCTGAGGAAGAGCACTGCGGAGAGTGAGCTTTTTGTCTGCTAAGTTATTCTGTTCTGTTACAGTACGTCTGTATCATTTGGTGCAGTGCAGTATGGTAAGGAAGTAGCCTGAGGAAGAGCACTGCGGAGAGGGAGCTTTTTGTCTGCTATATTCAGCAAGCTTCAGCTGAAAATAGTTGTCCATGTTATGAACTTAAGGCTTCCTGTCTCTCAGTTTCTGGTATTTACAGCCCTAACGACATGCATCTTATGCCAAGACGTTACATCCATACCTCCTCATTGGAACAGTGAGCCATCGCTTAGATGATTATGGTTGTAAAGAGCCAGTTCCCATGTATTGTAGTCCAACTCTGTAATCAAAAAACAGAAGTAATGTTATATATTACATGTTATATATTATATATGTTATATATGTTTTATATTCAAAATTCATTTTTTAGGCTATAATATCTTTCAACCAAAGGAAACCAGTCAGTTTTAAATTACAGAGAGATATGTGCAATGATCATTTGGACTAACAACTGTGGGCTGTATTTTACTGTGTGCTAAAGAAAAGGTGTGTAGCCATTGAATTGAGGACTTTAAAGCACTTTTCCATCTACATGCTCTGGAGGGCTGTATTTGTCACAGACCAGAACCCAGCGGTCCATAGCTGTTCTCAGTTTGGAATTACCTCCTTCTTGGAATTGTTTGTACCTGTTGGTTTCATTACTCACCTTATTAGGCGCTTTCACACCGATGTTCCGGAACCTGGTCCTTGTTTACAGGTTCTTGGGCTGTCTGGACCGGGAACTTTTGTAGATCCTGGCCACTTCTGTCTGTCACTGTCACACCACACAACAGGAACTGAATGGGATAAAATGCTGTTATATTGCTGTTATATTTCTTAAATGTGTTATGAAATGTTTAGAATCTCGTTTTAATAACTACTCCTTTTAA